GGATTATTTAAAGAGATGAGCCTTTCATTCAAGAAACCCCCCAGGCCGACAATGGGGGCTGGGGAATTCTGGGAGTTGAAGTCCACTCAAAGTGGCCAAGTTTGGACAACACTGGACTAGGGTCTGGAAGATACAGGTTCAAGCCCACTCTCAGCCATGGAAACTCATGATAATTTGGACCAGTCATTCCCTTTCAACCCTTATCTTTATCCTTACAGGGTAATTGTTTGGAGAAAAAAATTGGAGGAAGTGCTGTATCAGCTGCCTTGAGCTTCCAGAAAACAGACAATCATTTAACAAGCGGTGAAGGTTTACCACCACTTTGTGTAATTATTCCATTGTCAAATTACTCCTACTGTTAGGAAAATTTTCCTCACATTCAGTTGGAGTCTGCCTTCCTGTAAACTTAAACCTGTTACTCTGTTCTACCCTCCAGGATGATAGAGAACAGGTCTTGTGGGCTTCCTTTCTTCTGATGCTTGGGGAGTGTTATCAAATACACTACTGCACCCCACCCCAGTCTTCTCAAGGTTAAAAGTTTCAGGAAAGCAAACTAGGACTAACAACCAATCAGCTTTCCTTCCTCCTTTTCATAAGCCAATGGGACCAGTTCCAAACAAAGCATTAGACCAGTGTTTCTCAACCTTGACAACTTTAAGGTGGATGAACTTCAACTCCCAAAATTCCCCAGCCCAGAGTGCTTTCTGTTGTGTGATGCTACTTCTAAGACCGATGAAAAAGTGGTATCAAATATAAAAAGAGAAAAAACCAAGTATGTGTATTAGCCAAAATGATGGCCCTACTGCAACCCATAATTAATAGTATATTATTTATTATTCTAGTACAGTAGTATTTATACATCTACTACAGTTCGTTCTTAGCATGTCTAAAGAAATAATTGATTTTTAGATTACATGATGGAGTTGGTGGGAATTCATGAAGTATTAGCCTGGGTTCCCACACTATCATAGTGACAATTGGAGAAAAAAGTATCCTACTTAAAATACATAGAATGAAAAGTTTTGAAACAATTTGAAGGATTGAAGTATTATAACAGCATGAACCAAGCTTCCATTCTGGAAAATTGGGGATGGGGGGCTGAAATCCAAATGTGATAGTTAAACCATTGTAATTTTATTCTACCATCATTTGGGATTTTCATTACACGTGTTCTCAGTTGTGTGTTGTGACTTGGTTGACTGGTGCCTGCTAAACGTTACAACCGTTCTATCTTTTCTTTGTTGAAGTTAGTATTATTTAAGAAGTGAACTAAAACCCTACATTAAAATCCTCCATCCTCATTAGAAGCAACAGATTTGGTAGTCATTGGTTTTCAGATGTTAAAGGAAATGGTATAACGGATCTCCTCTAGCTGAAAGTATAGTCTAGAAACTACCACTGAGCATTTCTAGTATTAACTCTAAAACATCTGAAATGTCTTAATTCCTACCACTTCACCAATATCAAGTTTCTCCTTCTTCACTCCCGGTTAAAAATAATTTACTTTTTCTTCCAGGAAGGTGTTGGGTAATTGTCATGCAAAATGTAATGGTGTAATCACCATGTCCCATTTCAGTGTACCCCTTTTTTTCCCCCAGTAATTCAGAAAAAGTTGATTCGGTCTATCTATAGCTTTGTAACCTCGTTTATTTTCCTTTTAGGCAGGTTAAGATAGGGGGGAGATAGATTCAAAATCACTCCTTTCTCTTTTCACAATCTTTTCAGGCAAGAAGCCTCTTGAGATGCAACTGATCTTGCTTGAGGACTGAAAGGATTATTTATCCCTTTGTTTATTTTTAATGATAATGAGAGCTGCAGTTTCCCATCCAGGTTTAGGGGAATTCACTTGCCAGAATCAAATGACATACATACACATTATCAGGAATGTGGGGGATCATGTGTAAACTAGTTTTCAGATGTTTTTAAAAAATTCCACATGAAGGCAATACATTTTCTTCTTTTCTCCTTCCAATAAGTAATGCAATTTTCTCTTTTTAAGTGATTTGTGTCTTACCTGCCTTCGGAAATACCAAAGGCTATAGTCAAACTTGCTCAGAAGTGAAAGAAATATAGAGTCTTCTCATATTTTTTTCTCCTTAGTGTGCCCTTTTTTTTAGGCTGCATTGGCAATAAATGTCTTTGATGCAAAGGGGGTCAGAGTCACAGAAACATTTTATTTTGCACTGAGAAGAATGTTGCAGTGATAGGTTTATAAGCAAAATAAGTTAAAGTGGCTTCAGATAGAAACAGTTTAAAAACCCATCCCAAAAGCCAGAATAAAATGCTACCAAGCTGATTATTTTTTCCAGTGTGGTGACATACTGTAGGGAGAGAACCATTTTTCATTTGTAAATCACCCCCTTATTTAACTTTTTCAGCAAATACAGCAAGTCTGAATGGGAAAAGAAAAAGTTTGATAAAGCTATTGGGTAAGTGCAACATTCCAAACCAGAAATTTTATTAGAGTAATCCTTGTTTACTGATAATTTTCTAGTTAAAACCCTGCTCACCCTGCTTCCCATAGAATTGTAGGAGAATATTCCTTATCTTCCAGAAGATTGAAATAACTCTGCTTCATGCAGTTCATTCCTTGAAGGCATTAACTTGCAATGTGGTAAGAGTGCTCTCCTTAGCTGTTGATTTTAATAATCTCCATATTGCCATCTGTTGGGGAGCCAATATGTTGTAATGTTTACCATGCTGGTCTAGAACTATACTAGAACAGGTTCAGGTCCACCCTCCCCCAAGGAAGTTCACTGGATGACTTTGGGTTAGTTATTCTCTCTCTCAGCCCAGTGCAGTGTTGCTGTAGAGATAAAATGAAGGGGAGCTGTGTACGCTACCTTGAACTCCAGGTTAAAAAATGGGCTGTAAGTCTTTGTTGAAGAATCCTGTGCTGTGCTGCTTGTCCTGAACTCTCTCTGAGACTCCTTGAACTGTTAAAGCGAACATCCTGGAAGAGAGCAACAGCAAACCATTTGTGTAACACTGGATGCACTCCAGTCACCTAGAGTCAAATTCAGCTTGAATGCAACTTCATATTTACTCTGAGGTTTGTGAAAAGGGGTGCATGTACCACCAAATGTGGCTTCCTTGACAGTTGGTCCTGAAATAAGTGTTACGAGATACAGGCTCAGAATCTGCAAAGGGGACTAATTGTCAGGGTACTTGTGAATCTCACCTCCTTCCTGATAATATTTCAGTATGAAATTATTTTATGTACAAACTGCATTGTAACTTTCTCAAAAGGGCAGGTGTCAGTGAGCATGTCCATTCCAAATGATTCTGTATATTTGGCAGGTGACATATTTGTCCAAACATTTTGATGAAGTGGGTTTCTCATCTTTGAAATCAGGCTTCATCTCCTTATTTCTGTCATGGGAGAAACAGTTGTTCAACAAGGATAAGTTGCTACCAAGAAAACTTTCAATAGAAGCATTTCCAGTATTAGCACCACTGTTATTGCAATGAGATTTGCTTGCTAGGTTTGTTTCAGTAAAGCAAACAGATTTATAATAGTGCTTGTGGGATTGATTATGTGCCACCAAGTTGTTGTCAACTCTTAGCATCCACATGATAGATTTTCTCCATGATGATCTGTCCCTAACCTGGTCTTTCAGATCTTCCAACGGTGCACTCATTGCCACTGAGTTCATTCCCCTTGCTGTTAGCCATCCTCTTCTACGCTTTCCTTCTACCTTTCCCAGCACTGGAGCCTTCTCCAGAGAGCTGAGTCTTTGCATAATGTGTCCAAAGTAGGAGAATTTGAGCTTGTCATTTGTGCCTCAACTGAGAACTCTGGGTTGATTTGTTTGATGATCCATCGGTTTGTTTTCTTGGCTGTCCACAGTATTCTTGTGGGATACAGCCCCCTTTTAAATATGTCATGTAAAAGTTGCTATTAAATAAACTAGATAAATGCAAATTGTTGCAGTCATTGATTACCTGTGCATAATTCACTTCTGAAGAGTTTCTTTTTAACAAGTACACTCTATTTTTTGCTGGTCATACTCTGATATTGAAAAAAAAACCATGAGACAGGAGGTAGACATTCAACAAAAGATGGCAGATTCAGACTTTCATAATGGTATGGAGCTATAACTGAAAAATGAAAATAGAAGTCAAACTCTGTTTAACATTACTTTTTGGAGACAGGCTTTACTGTGGATTTTCTAGATGTAATAGTTCCATCAGCTTTAGTTTCATGCCTTGTAATATCTTTTCTGTATTTCTTGCAGATATTCTTTTGCTATTGTTGGCATCAACATAACAGAGCTTGCATACAACCTGCTTGTGAGCGGTGCTCTGAAAACACATTTCTACAATGTTGCTCCAGAAGCTCCAACGTTATCTCATTTCCAGCAAACATTTTGTGAGTGTGTGTGTGTGAGAGAGAGAGAAAAAGACAGAGAGAGAGAGAGAGAGAGACTATTTCTCTGCGTAAAAGAGAGAGAACGATTGTGTGTGTGGGCACAATTTTTATTAAAATCACAGGAGATCAATTATGCAAAGTGCTGTTGCATTCCACTGACTAAATTTATCCTTTATATTAAAACTAATATATGTTCTTAGAATGACCAACGTTTGGCAGTAATAGATCCGCTTCATGGGAAATAAGCTAATCTGTTTTGTGAGGAATTTCATAAGAAGTGAACACTTTTCCTATTTTGGCAAAAGTTGACTTGTCTCCAAACAACTAGAAACTTATTAGCTTCTAAGATCCTGTCTGAAAAACCTATAAATTTTGTTTTCCCTCTTACATTAGATTTTTCAAAAGTTTACTGGTAGAGGCATCTGAAATATTCCAACACTGAACCATTTGGATCTCAAAACAACCTATTCTGAACTTCAAGTGGGCTGTTCTGTCCTCACTAAAAATGTTCCAATCCTGAAAGAGGGTCATCCCAAACTTGAAACCAGCTGTTTAGAGAACCTACAGAAATGGGATATCAGGTCATCCATCCCATTTCAAGTTCAAAATGGTTTGAACCTGAAATTTTTTTATACCCCTACTTGTTGATAATAAGAACAAAGTTCTTGTTACTGCAGAGAACTAAAAACACTATTTATAGCCTTAGTGCAACCTCCCCAAATCCTCAGGATGTATGGAGATTGCAGTTCTTAGAATTCCCAACCATGTGGCCTGCGGACAATAGAAGGTTAAAGAAGACTGAACTTACAACTCAGTGCTGATATATATGTAGATCTATACCCTACCCCAAACATGGATACATACCCAAAGCTACTTCCCCAATTCTTGTCATCACTGGATCTACATTTGGAATGGTAAAAAGTTCTTTCCCCCCAGTGGTCCTGAACAACAGCTTGGTGGTGAACTCTTCGAAGCATGCACATAGGAAGAAGAGCTCATGCCACATTTAAAGTATAGCCTCCCATTAAAAGTTATTTAAGCAAGAGAGGACTACTAATGGCCCCAATCCCCTTTTTTGTACCTACTCTATTAAAATTGTTGGCAGATGTTCCCACCACTTTGGAAAACATGCACACACACACACACACACAAACCCTGCAGCAAAAGTTTCACAACACACACGCAAGATAACCCCTAAAAATTCCTATCTTCCTGGAGTAAAAAAGCAGGATTTCTACCATCCCCTCTATGTTTGATTCGGCACCAACCATTTTGCCTCATTACCCTGTCTGTTACCCCTTAAAAAAAATGTTAAGTTAAATCCCCATCCGCCCAAATGTGCTCCATCCTTTAAAAAAAGAGGATTGGTTAAAACTGAAAACTCAGAGAAGCAATCTGCAGCTTATTTCGAAGAGTGTCGCAATATAAGACTACCTTTAGGCTTGCTAAAGATGGAACAAATACTGTAATTGTCATGCCTAAAATGCATGCTTATATTATTTTGTGAATTGTGTTGCTATCAAAGTGAAGAATGATGGTGCCCTAAAAAGATTTGCTAATTAAGAATTTGGAACTGCTTGATTGATAACTTCCAGTCTGAATATTAGCAAGGCTAAGGAAGGATAATTTAGAGTAATGCTATATTACTATCTAGCAGCACGGAGGGGCTTTTTGGAAGAGAAATAGTATTCAGCATTGGGGGGGAAAACTCCAGTGGTACTGATCAGCTTTATCCCTCCCCACATAATATACCATCCATAAACATTTGAGGTCATTTCTATTGCCTGTGAGTTAATGAAATTGGATCATTTTTTCTTGTTCTAATTTTCTGCCCATTAGTCTCTGCAGGAGGATTAGTCCAGAAAAACAGTTTTGAAATGTCCCCCAGATTCCACTTTTCTGTGAACTGTTTGATGATTAAATCCTTTGTGAATCTTGGAGAATATTTAACATCATTCAGGACCACCTGCACAAATGTGGCATCAGGATAGCGCATGTTATGATTTGCCAATGCCAGCAGATGGTGCTGTGTTATTTCTGCAGTCATCAAACACCCATTTTAACACTGTCTTCCAATTCTGTCCCAGCCTATTCTGTTCCTCGCTCTTTCTGTAATAACATGGCCCTTGGCTAGCTCAGGATTTTAACACACCAGAGAATTCCCCTGTGGTTTCTGCATAAGCTGTGACAGTTTCCATTCACTAAGCACAGCTAGATTTCAAGAGAAAGAAGTCGTGCATTTCAGATCTTTTTTCAAAATGTCCCCTTGGGTAAAGAATGGTAGTTAGACTAATGTTGCTTTGCAATTATCAGGTCAAATTCTGACTGTCTTTGCATGCATCCATCCATTCCCACTGGCCTCTATTGTGTTTACCTGTGTGAAGCTCAGCCATCATCGGTAACACCGAAACAGAGTTTTTGGCGCTCCCATTGTGGTAAAAAAGTGGATTACTAATTTCTTTTTATCTAAAATTGCTAGATATAAAGGGATGATGCACAGTTTCAGAATGGAACAAGTACAGTTAATTATAAACCTGCCAGAAATACTGTGTTCCTTTTTTCTCTGTGTGTGTGTGTGTATGTCAATACATTTATATGGATGGATGGATGGATGGATGGATGGATGGATGGATGGATGGATGGATGGATAGATAGATAGATAGATAGATAGATAGATAGATAGATAGATAGATAGATAGATATTGTGTGTGTGTGTGTGCATGTAGCATATATTTTGGGACCTCTTGATCTCTTGGAAGAAATATTGGCTCAGCATTCATATTATTTTTTTTCCCCTGATTGAAATGGCTGCCATGCCTGAATTGGAAATTCTCACGTACAACAATTCTCCATTGGCTACAAATGGACATTTTCCATTCATATCCTTGGCTTTAAATAGTTTGTTCAAAAGGTGCTCCTCTGTTGCTTTCGGAGGCTTCCTGCACTGCTAGTTTGACACAGATTCTGCTAGAAAAACCATTTGAAAGGATAGTTTCACGTTTTGGTGGCTTTTTTCAATGCTCTTTGGGTAGAGCTGAGAAACACCTTTGCAAACATACTTTGAGAAATACCCATGTGCTGTATTTTTTTCCCTGGGCTCACTCTACCAGAAAGTAAGTTTTTAAATCCTTGTACCTTCTGAACTTTTGCTCTACCAGAATTCCAACCGCAGGGCTTATATTTCATTTTTCCAGTGCAAATGCAGAATTTAAACGCACAGTTTAAAATGATTGTTTAAAACAGGCAACTAAGCTGTTTGGTTTTGGTTTTGTGTGGTTTGTGTTCTCCTGCATCCGTAGTACTACCAAAGTAAAGTCATACCACTAAACGATTAATGGATTAGATTACATTTAGAAGGGGAATAGTAGAAACTGTTTATGGACCGAAGGAACACCTGGTTCACTTGACTTCCAATCCTTTGGCTTTTTGTTCCCTTAGGCTATTTGATGCATGAATTTCATAAATTCTGGATTGAAGAGGATCCCCTGGACATAATGGAGTTCAATCGGGTGCGAGAGAAATTCCACAAACGAATTATCAGGCAGCTCCAGAATCCGAATATGGCATTATGCCCTCACTTTGCTGCCTCAGAAAGCTTGATCAACCTGTAGCCATTCCCATGGCTTGGTTTGGAAACACTGTCTCGTTCTTGTGTTATGCCACCATCTAGAGATAAATTGCTGATGTATTGAATGATCACGGCAAGTGCATGCATGCTTCTCGATGCGGTATTCATCTCTCGCGCTCTCTGAACCTCCTCCCACTGCTCCTCTGGAGAGCTTGGTCACTGACAAAGAGAGCTCATATTGCAATATCTTGCAGTGTTAAACATTTTGAATGGATGTCCTGTATTTTTTTCCCTTTCTGTTGGGCTCTTATCCCCTCCCTTTCCCACTGCATAATTCATTTAATGAAAGAACTGTATTTCTCTAGCTTGGGGTGGGGGGGGATTTTATTTCTTTTTGTTTATATATACAGAATAGTTTTATTTGGAAACTTGTACTATGGAAGCCTTTTAACTCCCTTTGTTTTATGATAACTGATCCTTTTTTTTAAATGGGCATGATCCAGTTGTAGTCACCTTTTGAACCGAATGGCACTGAAGTCAAGAGGACTGAAAAGTGCTTGCTTTAACTGGGATCATGCATTTGAACATTATTTAGAAGACAGTGTACATGACTTGAGCCTGACCTTGGCAAAATACATTAAATGTAATGATTTCTCCCTCATGCAGACATGCATGCTTCATGAAAAAACAATAGTAAGATTTATAATAAAAGCGTGTGAATAATTTTAACATACATAAAGAATTTATAATGAGGCTGCGTTGGTAGGAGGGTTGAGGAATTTGAGGGAATGAATTAAATTGATAAGAGTTCAAAAAAAATACACCGATGTAAGCAAGTCTCTGGCAACCTTCTGTAATTTGGTGATCTTCATATGTGCTGGACTGATTCATTAGAAGTTTACATCGGACCACTGTCACCATATTCAGCTAAACTTTGAAAATGCAGGATTCATGGGTTGTATTTCTGCATGTCTGAATGCAATTTGATTGTGTGAGAGTGTGTTCTTGATTGTTTTAAGGGGGCAAAACTATATTTTCTTCATTTTTCAATTATTGAATTTTGGGCTTGGATTGTCAGCTCTGTTCCTAGCTGAAAGGAATTAACAAAGAGGCACGAAGTGAGTAAACCTAACTGGTTATTAAGCAAATGACAAGGCGATTTAAGGGAAGAAAACATGCACATTCTGTATAGAACATTCTCATAAAATTGTGCTGAAATGACTGGTAGATGCATCATCTTTTCCATGAAGCTCATGCAAACATTCGTTGTTTTTTTTTAAAAAAAATGGGCTTTCAGAGGAACAACTCCATTTGGATTTTCCTCAGCTCCTCTGACACCATGTGTAATCTACACTCAGTTGTATTTGCCATGCCATTTCATACTGTATCATGATATTTTTTTTAACCTTCTGACTGTTATAGGGTAGGTTGTGAAGTTGCTTGCATAGCAAGATTGAATTTGAGGTATTGCCTAATTATTTGTGGATTATATGAATAAATGACATCATTCCAAACAGGAAAATGGTGTGGAGCTCATTATTTAAAATGAAGCAGTGTTAAGTGTTACTGCTCAGGTATATATAAGAATAGGACTCGAGCAGAATGATACCATGTGATTCAGTTGTGTTCACTAAGGAGAAGTAGTGTATTTTCTTTTCCTAGTAATGTGGTAGAATCCAGATTCAACTAGTTTTAAATACACATTTGGGGAACCCACTTTAACTTGGCTCATTTCAGAATTTGTAGGAAGTCCATGGAGACAAAACCCTCTCCTTTGAATGACAGCAAGGTGAGTTTTATCTCCTTGCTTCCATCTAGTGCTTGCCCAGTTTTAGTAGCCCAGATGTGGTATAGTGGACCTCTATTCTCTTGATTGCAGTGGGTTAAATAAATCTTCCCGTTACATTTTCCATTGCCAGTTTTTTTAACCTGGGGGCAAAAATCAAGGAGATGGAGATTGGAATAGTTGCACAATAGCCCTGTGTCTGAAAGCAACCAATCCGGTCTCGTCAGGGTCTGTTCTTAAGCCACAGTGGCTGAACTCAGAGCCACAAATAAGAAAACTACGTTTAGAATTAGTGTGATCTATAAATCTAGCTAATCATCATCAACATAATTTATTAAATGTATAGACTACCCAACTCCCAACAACTCAGTGTTGGGATAAATCATGCATGATATAGAATTTTGTTGCATGTACACATGCTGAGGAACCATGTTGAGTTGCTTTCTGAAGTTTTTGGTATATAAATGAGAGAAATAAACCCAACAGAAAACCAGACACCTGGAGCTGCTACTTTGGCCAATTTATAAAGAAGCTAAAGCTATATATCAGTATCCTACAGCTCACCCATTGTTTCTCTGGGTCCCAACAAATGGGGTATTTGGTTTGCAGTTGAACATCCTATGGATCTAAGTAATCTAGCTCAATGTGTACACAAAGAGTCTCAGGAACAACTTAAGAAAGATTACCTAAAATCCTGGGGAGCTGCTGATAGTCTCTGCAGAACAGATAGAAAACTTGTTCTTCAAACATTCTGGACTACAGTTCCCATGAACTATAGTCAGCCAGAACTGATTATGGGAATTTTAAATTTAATTCTAAATACCTGGAGGGTGTTTCCCAACATTGGCAGCTTCCCAGTAGTGTGGACTTTAACTCCCAAAATTCTCATCAAAGTTTATGCTGGCTGTGCAATTCTTGGATTCAGTTCCACACACCTGGAAATTCCTAAGGTTGGGAACCACAGGCAGTTGGTTTACCTTTGGCATAGACAACACTGAGTAAGATTGAGAAATGATGTAAGATGGCTACATTCTTTCAAAGTTGTAGCACATAAAGTCTTTGTCATCTGAAGACGGGGTTGAACAGGTACATTTAAAAAGTTTAGATAGGGTAAGATTCAACTTATATATACATATCCATAAATCAGGTCTTTGCTGCAGAGTCACATGTAAAACAATGCTTGAAAGTGTAAACAGTTGAAACTGGTTAAGATGGGAGATCACCAGGTAATTTGAGGGCAGTAGGTTAAATTGGGAAGTAGAAAAAAGATCTTGGAAGAAAATGGCAAACCACTTCCATATTACTGAAGAAAATCAAATGGACGTAGCCATGTGGTCATCAGAAGTCAAGCTTCACTCAATGAAACCTTTACCTCCAGCAGAAATAACACAACTTCAGAACTGCTGATCTCTTCATTTTTTCCATATAAACTACCCACTTCTTTTAAAATAAGTTGCTCTCTGACAAATCATCCCAAAAATGTCATTTAAAACTGGATGTGTGTCAGAACATTCACCAGGAACGTACACTAATGAGACCCAGAAGCTATTACAATATTAGTTGCTGGGGTTTTGATACACTTCTTGCTATTTATTCTTAATAAAATACCATGAATTATTAAGCACAGTTTGTTTTGCCGGAAACCGTCCCATCATCTATGAATTATTCATTCTTTTCACCATTCAGTCACCCTTCTCCCAATTGGGGCATGAAAGCTCCTGTCCCATACAAAATCTGGAAATCACAAGATACTCTAAAAAAAGAATAACAGATGTTTTTCATTGTTATAGTAATTTTATATTTTAACATGCAGCAATCAGATAAAGCTTAACACATAACAATTTGACCCTTTTTGTTTAGCGTGTAGCCTGTATTAAATGACATTCTGTATTCTCTAATAAAAATGTTTAAAATGCAGTATTATACAATGTAAAATGTCTCAGATTACAAATTAAGAAAATGTATAAAAGGGGGGATTGTGATAAAAACATCCTCAGCAGAAAAAATATATTTTCCTTTGGGAGGGAAACTGCTTGTGCCTATAATGGCAGGTTACCTTTTATTAGTACATAATAATGGATTAGTGCATCCATCCTGGCTCGACCTCTCAACAGCTTTCGATACCATTGACCATGGTATCCTTCTGGACCGACTCAAGGAGTTGGGGGTGGGCAGCGTAGTCTTGCATTGGTTCACCTCCTTCCTCCAGGGCTGGTCCCAGTCAGTGTTGATAGGGGAGGGGAGATCGGGCCCGCAGCCCCTCCTTTATGGGGTGCCGCAGGGTTCGGTACTCTCTCCTCTCCTTTTTAATATCTACATGAAACCACTGGGTGAGATCATCCGTCTCCACGGGGTGAGGTATCATCAATATGCCGATGATACTCAGTTATACATCTGCATCCTGGGGGAAGTGATGCTGTGGCTGCCCTTTCCAGGTACCTGGAGGCTGTGGGGTCTGGATGGGGAATAACAGGCTTCAGCTGAACCCTGGCAAGACGGAGTGGCTGTGGGTTAATGGCCTTTTGGTCCCTAGGAATTTGCCATCTTTGGTTCTGGATGAGGTGGCACTGCCCCAGACAGACCCAGTACGTAACTTGGGGGTCCTCTTGGACTCATGACTCCTGCTCGAAGAGCAGGTGGAAGTCGTGGCCAGGAGGGCCTTTGCGTAACTTCATGTTGTCCGCCAGTTACGTCCTTTCCTGGACCAAAAGGCCCTTCGAACAGTCACTCGTGCCCTGGTCATCTTCCATATAGACTATTGTAATGTGCTGTACATGGGACTACCCTTGAAGAGTATCCGGAAGCTTCAAATGGTCCAGAATGTGGCCACATGGGCGATTTTAGCTGCATCAAAATCAGCACATATAACACCTTTGCTCTGTGAGCTGCATTGGGTGTCAGTTTGCTTCCGGATCCAATTCAAGGTGTTGGTTATTACCTTTAAAGCCCTACATGGCATGGGTCCAGGGTACCTGAAGGACCGTCTCATCCCCGTCACATCAACCCGTCCCACCAGGTCATGCAGAGAGGGCATGCTACAGACCCCGTCTGCAAGAGAATTTCATCTGATGGGATCAGGAGGCAAGTCTTCTCTGCAGCAGCCCCTGCCCTTTGGAACACTCTTCCCCCAGGAGTGAGGTTGGCCCCCTCCCTTTTGGACTTCAGAAAAAAAACGAAGACCTGGTTTTGTCATCACGCATGGGGTGGGGATGGGAATAGTCAGTGTTGGGGATGGCTGGTTCCCTAGTCTTACCTTTGACCAATATTATCTGGTCCCAGGCT